TTCTTGGATATTTTTGGAAATTCGTATAATTTCTGTAAAAAAACCTTTAAAAGCTTTCGCTTCACTCAGAAATAACAGGATGTCTTAGAAAATTGTTGTAAAATCTCTAGATATATTTGGAAAATTTTGCAAAATCTTATAAAAATCGAAATATTAAAAATTTTTAATCTATTCTGATAATTTCATTAAGATTCGTTAACGAATTGATTTAATACGATTTTTTAAACGATTAAAGTTTTCGATATTACCGGGAATTCCATATAACTCGCAATATATGAATGCAGTAATTATAGTTACGAAAGTACTATACATTTGAACTGTCCCACATAAAATGCAACATTGCTTAATAATAGGGGCAGAGTTGAGCTACTTGCAGTAAAAATGTACTGCAAGTAAAGCATTCAGTACTTTTTTACTTAAGTAGTTTACTGCCAGTAAATTGTAGGTACTTAATACTTGTACTTTCAGTATTTATCTTAAAATGTACTGAATACTTATTATTTGTTTGACATAAGAAGTACTTGAAGAACTATGAATAATAACCTACTTCCAGTACTTTTAATAGTAAGTAAAATAACAATTTTTTAATGTTTTCTTCAAAATCCTAGATAATCTTAGGAATGATATGAAATCTTGATGGTATGCTTAAAATATCAGTTGTAATCTTCTGGAAATACTTGTATCTTGTACTAAATCTTTGGGAATAACTAAAATCGTGGACATTCGTAATAACCCCTAGATATCCTTAGAAAACCTTCTAATTTTTCTAAAAAATCATTCTAAAACCTTGGATATACCAAAAAAAATCCTAAGATATCTGTAAAGACCGATGAATATCTTTGAAAATCTATCTAAATTGCTTAAAATTTTTAGAAATACTCAGTCGATTATGAAAATTTTTGGAAATCGTTTCAAAATCCCTAGAGATGCTTGGAAATTCCTATAAAATCTTCTAAAAACTTGAAATTCTGTAAAGATCTCTGCAAAATTCTAGATAACCTTAGGTATTCTGATAAATTTTTATGGTATACTTGAAAATCCGTTGAAATCTTTTGTAAATTTTCTAGAAATACTAAGAAATGCCTACATAAGTGTCTGGGAGGAATTAAAAATCCTCGGCATTCGAAATCATTCCAGGATATCCTTGGAAATCCTTCCGATTTTTCTAAAAATCAATCAAAAACCTTGGATACACTCAAAAATCTTTAGATATCCGTAAAATCGATGGATGTCTTTAAAAATGTGTCTAAATTCTTGAAAATTTTTAGAAATACCCAGTTGACTATGAAAATTATTAGAAATCGTTTCAAAATCCCTAGATATGTTTGGAAATTCCTATAAAATCTTGTAAAAACTTGAAATTCTGTAGAAATCTCTGCAAAATTCTAGATAATCTTAGGTATTCTGATAAATTTTTATGGTATACTTGAAAATGCGTTGAAATCTTTTGCAAATTTCCTAGAAATAGTAAAAAATGCCTACATAAGTGTCTGGGAAGAATTAAAAATCCTCGGCATTCGAAATAATCCCTGGATATCCTTGGAAATCCTTCTAATTTTTCTAAAAATCAATCAAAAACCTTGGATACACTCAAAAATGTTTAGATATCCGTAAAATCGAAGGATATCTTTAAAAATGTGTTTAAATTCTTTAAAATTTTTAGAAATACCCTGAAAATTATTGGAAATCGTTTCAAAATCTCTAGATATGTTTGGAAATTCCTATAAAATCTTCTAAAAACTTGAAATTCTATAGAAATCTCTGCAAAATCGTAGATAACCTCTGGTATTTTGAGAAATTTTTATGGTATACTTGAAAATCCATTGAAATCTTTTGGAAATCTCCTGGAAATACTAAGAAATGCTTACATAAGTATCTGGGAAGAATTAAAAATCCTTGATATTCGTAATTATCCATAGATATCTCTGGAAATCCTTCCAATTTTTCTAAAAATCAATCAAAAACCTTGGATACACTCAAAAATGTTTAGATATCCGTAAAATCGAAGGATATCTTTAAAAATGTGTTTAAATTCTTTAAAATTTTTAGAAATACCCTGAAAATTATTGGAAATCGTTTCAAAATCTCTAGATATGTTTGGAAATTCCTATAAAATCTTCTAAAAACTTGAAATTCTATAGAAATCTCTGCAAAATCGTAGATAACCTCTGGTATTTTGAGAAATTTTTATGGTATACTTGAAAATCCATTGAAATCTTTTGGAAATCTCCTGGAAATACTAAGAAATGCATACGTAAGTGTCTGGGAAGAATTAAAAGTCCTGGCCATTCGTAGTAATCATTGGATATCCTTGGAAATCCTTCTAATTTTTCTAAAAAATCATTTAAAAACTTTGGATACACTCAAAAATCCTAAGATATGCGTAAAAATGGATGGATACCTTTGAAAATGTGTCTAAATTTCTTAAAATTTTTAGAAATACCTAGTTGTATACAGGCTGTCCCGTATCTTCCGCATCAGAGCATTATACAGTTGTAGGATACATTATTCTGAAGCGATCTTTCTAATGCGATCTTTCCCGTGCGGTTATTACAAACATTTCGACAAAATTTTATTAGAAAAATTGCATTAGAATGATGTATCCTACAACCGTATAATGCTCTGATGCGGAAGATACAGGACACCTTGTATAAAAATTTTTGGAAATCGTTTCAAAATGTCTAGATATGTTTGGAAATTCCTATAAAATCTTCTAAAAACTTGAAATTCTATAGAAATCTCTGCAAAATCCTAGATAACCTTAGGTATTCTGATAAATTTATATGGTATACTTGAAAATCTATTAATATCTTTTGGAAATCTCCTGGAAATACTAAGAAATGCTTACATAAGTGTCTGGGAAGAATTAAAAATCCTGAACATTCGTAGTAATCATTGGATATTCTTGGAAATCCTTCTAATTTTTCTAAAAATCATTCAAAAACCTTGGATACATTCAAAAATCCTTAGACATATTTGGTTATCTTTGAAAATTTGTGGAAATTGCTACAAAATCCTGGGATGTATTTGGAAATTTTCATAAAACCTTTTAGAAAACCTAAATATCTATACAAATCTCTGGAAACTCGTTGGATTCCTCAAAAATCATGAGAAATTCGCCTGGTATCTTTGAAAATCTTATGGGAATACTTAGAAATGCTTATATGAATCTTTGAGAATCGTTACAATCCTAGATGTTATTAATGGATATCCTTTTTTCTTGGATATTCTTGGAAATTCGTATAATTTCTGTAAAAATCTTTTAAAAGCTTTCGATTCACTCATTGTCAGACATAACAGGATGTCTTTGAACATTTTAGGAAATTGTTGCACAATCTCTAGATATATTTGGAAAATTTTGCAAAATCTTATAAAAATTAAAATATGTGTAGAAATTTTTGGAAAATGATAAGATTCAAAAACACTGTTGTACCGCGTGTTTACCCAGCAGGAGAATTATTTCAAATACAAGATATATTTACATTCAAGGATTGTAATTACTTTGTAATGGGTACTTGAAATTTTAGTTTCAAATTAAATTACTTATTACTGCAAGTACTTTTTAAAAATACTTGTTACTTATTACTTGGAGTAAAAATAATTTATAGCGCTATTTGTACTTGTTACTGGGAGTACTTTTCCTTTGTACTTGTAACAGCTCTGAGTAGGGGATAGGGGAGATGATTCAACCACTTTTTAGGTTTTTTTCCAGGTGCCTTATTACCATTAGGTCTTAAAAAGTATGCAAGTCCACATGTTAGTCCACAAAATCCTCCATCGAAAAAAACAGTCTATTGATCGGCCATATTCCTGGCTTTTTAAATGCATTTACTATATTACTGATCGAAAATGCACGGGTATATTCCAGTTCGCCAACATTTCTTATGCTAGACCGAGAACTAGAAACATTCGGATTTAGCCACACCTCTCTCAAGACGGCTAAACCCGAATGATTCTGGTTCTACATCTTGTGTTAGTTCTAGTGATAGTGCTAGTGTAAAACTAGAAGTAACACTAGACGTAGAACTAGAAACATTTGGGTTTAGCAGTGCGTCTGAAGTTTTAGTTCAATACAAATATGCAACATACTGATATTTTATGCTAACAAGCGCTACCTATCACCCACCAGCCGTTCTAGGTCTAGTGTTAGTTCTAGTGCTAGTGTTAGTCTAGTGCTAGTGTTAGTCTAGTTTTATTTGTCATTCAGCGCTAGATTGTTGTATATTTTTATTGAGCTATAACGGACACTACGTTCCCCATATTGATCCGTTATATCGAAATTTGACTGTAATGTCAAATTATATGCATTTTATGTGGGACAAAGTAAATAGGGACGCCCTGATTCCTATGAAAAAGCTAGTTTTTGTAAAGAAAAGTAGTTGTGCAACCCCAATAGTATGATATATGTTTCAATTTATGATCGAAATAATTGATTACTTGTTTCGATTAAATTTAAATATTTCAATCTGTATCTAACAAATAACTCTAAACAACTTGTACTGAGAATGATTACATTTGAACGTTTATTTTTTTTTAATAACATTCTGCAATAGTGTTTTGGTACTACAGTGGATAAAAATAATTAAAAGATAACCAAATCTTCTTTCATAACATTTAATAAGTTCGACATCTCGCTGTAATTATCACATTAACCCAACTTTTTCATCATACTCCTTATCGAAATAGCAACAAACCTTTGGCCAAACACAACACGAACGCTCGTTCTAATTCCTACAGTTATTTATGTCTCCAATAAAAAAATTTATTTTTATTGATCGATTTTATATCTAACATTTAATCGATAATAAGGTAAGATTTTGTTTTATCTACACTTCTTTTCCAATACAAGATGATTATGTTAGATTCAAATTAGAGTTAGAAAAGAAAAAATAGAAATCCTCCACTTTTAAATTGAATGATTTTATCACCTTCTGGGTTGGGACTCTTTTTCTCACTGTTTAAAGTGTAAAATTGATTGTATTTATGGGTGGTTAAAAAATTATTTGGTGGGTTATTTGGTGGTGGTTGTTGCATGCAGGCGGATTGGATGAGCCACCAGTGGCTTATGGTCGACCTCCGCATGTTCAGTACGTCTACCTCCCTTACTATCAAGGACAAATGACGTACACACGTAAGTTGAGATGACTCTATTACTACTTTTTTTTAAACAATTCTTTTAATTTATATTATTCGAAAATCTTGATCACAAATTATAACCCATGAGGTGAAAGAAGTAGTGCTTGATTTCATTTCTTTCTTTCTTTACACTTAGTTTTTATAGATTTCTTTTTATCTGTTGTTGAATATATCTTTAACACTTTTTATTATTTATTTAGCTTTTAGCAAGCTTTATTATTTTAGTTTAGTTTAGCTTTATCATTTTAGTCTAGCTTAATTATTTTAATTTAGCTTGTTTAAATTTAATTCATAATTGATTAAATTAATTTTAAAAGAACAAATTAAAATGATTTTTCTGTTAGGTGAGGATCCTATCTTGGGGGATCAACAACAATACAAATACATGTCCGGAGGAGATGATATGAAATCATTCGGTGATGACTCAAGGATGGATGTGACTAACGACGAAAAAAGCGAATATAGGCATTCTATGGGTAATAAAAAAAACTTATGTAAAGTTAACCCCTAATTAGACATGATTTTGTTTGTAACAAAAGAACCTCTAAACCGATTTTGATAAAAGATATTTCATTCGAAAGCTTAATGCTTGGCCAATACGAAATTCGAAATCTCTTTTGAATTCCACTAAAACGCTAAAATGTTGAGAACTTCAAACTTAAAATATTCATAACTCGTAAACGATGTACTCGATTATTAAGATCTGTACATCATTAGATTCGTCATAGTTTTTTCTATCGAAGTCATAAAATACTCGATCACAATGTTTTTCCATTAATCTTATGCAGTCCTAAGAACGACACCATGTTTGTCTCGTTCTTTATACACGTATGGACGCTCGAAAGTCTAGCCCCCAATAAGAAAAAAATAATTTAGATTAAATTGACTATAAGTAAAGAATTGTTTATAACTTTTATACTGAAATTTTTTTTCTCAAAGTTCCGAATCCCGTGCTTTTTTATAGCTCTCAAGATATAAAACGATTTCATGTAATTTATCGTATTTTTCTCTATATTTATGCATCTTAGAGCAAAAGTGTAAAAGAGCAATATTTTTAAGCATAAAATTTGCTACAACATTTCTATTAAAACTTTTTTTCTAAAACGCTTAGAATCCAAAACCACGATTTCATCTAATTTTCACCTTTTCCAAATTTTCTCGATATTTATGCATTTGAGAGCAAAAATGTAAAAGAGCAAAATTGCTAAGCATAAAATTTGCTACAACTTTTATACTTACAATTAAACTTTTTTACTAAAACCTTCCGATTTCCGTGCTTTATCATTAACAAAACGTAAAACCACGATTTTATCTAATTTTCACCTTTTCTAACTTTTCTCGATATACAGTGTGTCCGTAAAGTAACGCATATAGGCGATAAAATCATAAAAAAACGGTTTATGGAAAAATCCCTGAAAGCGGTCTAAAGATTTAAATTTTTTGCAATTTTTTGGTGTAGATTTTAACCTTTTTCCACCATTTTTAAACGAGTTATGGCGTCATCGATATTTTTTTTTAATGGCAATCCCCCATTTTTATTGTGAAATATGAAAGAGAATTTTTTTCTGAATCTAGTACAGTCAATATTAATATTGGTTACATAAGAAAATTTTCGAGAAAAATTACTTCAAAGTTTAATTACTTCAAATTTATATAATGATAAAAATAGCAGTAGCCATGAGTAACCATGGTAACCAATTAATTAACCACGATTTGTTGAACTTCCCTAGCAACATTTAGTAGGCCAGACTTCGAGAAATGCTCCGAGAGATGGCCATGCTGTTTAGATTTAGTCACAGCTAGGCGCATCATACTTTGGCTTAACTTATTAAAGATGTTAAAATAATTGGTTACCATAGTTACTCATGTCAACAAATCTGATGTAGTTAAACTTTAAAATAATTTTTCTCCAAAAATTTTCTTATGNAAAAATGTAAAAGAGCAAAATTGCTAAGCATAAAATTTGCTACAACTTTTATACTTACAATTAAACTTTTTTACTAAAACCTTCCGATTTCCGTGCTTTATCATTAACAAAACGTAAAACCACGATTTTATCTAATTTTCACCTTTTCTAACTTTTCTCGATATACAGTGTGTCCGTAAAGTAACGCATATAGGCGATAAAATCATAAAAAAACGGTTTATGGAAAAATCCCTGAAAGCGGTCTAAAGATTTAAATTTTTTGCAATTTTTTGGTGTAGATTTTAACCTTTTTCCACCATTTTTAAACGAGTTATGGCGTCATCGATATTTTTTTTTAATGGCAATCCCCCATTTTTATTGTGAAATATGAAAGAGAATTTTTTTCTGAATCTAGTACAGTCAATATTAATATTGGTTACATAAGAAAATTTTCGAGAAAAATTACTTCAAAGTTTAATTACTTCAAATTTATATAATGATAAAAATAGCAGTAGCCATGAGTAACCATGGTAACCAATTAATTAACCACGATTTGTTGAACTTCCCTAGCAACATTTAGTAGGCCAGACTTCGAGAAATGCTCCGAGAGATGGCCATGCTGTTTAGATTTAGTCACAGCTAGGCGCATCATACTTTGGCTTAACTTATTAAAGATGTTAAAATAATTGGTTACCATAGTTACTCATGTCAACAAATCTGATGTAGTTAAACTTTAAAATAATTTTTCTCCAAAAATTTTCTTATATAAGCAATATTAATATTGACTGTATTAGATTCAGAAAAAAGTCTTCTTTCATATTCCGTAATAAAAATGGGGGATTGGCATTTGAAAAAAATACCGATGACGTCATAACTCGCTTAAAAATGGCGGAAGAAATTTAAAATCTACGCCAAACAATTGCAAAAAACTAAAATCTTTAGATCCGTTTCAGGGATTTTTCCATAAACCGTTTATAATGATTTTATCGCCTATATCCGTTACTTTACGGACACACTGTATATGCATTTGAGAGTAAAAGTGTAAAAGAGCAAAATTGCTGAACATACAATTTGTTACAAGGTTCCTATAAAGTTCTTCAATTACATTTCTTAATTACCATAAATAACCCCTTGCATTTAATCAATTTGACATTAAGATGAAAAATTTAGAAAACTTCTCGATTTTTTTTTCTAATTATTTTATAATACAACCCAACATGTATTATACATCATTTTAAAGAAGGAATCATCAACTTTAATTTGCGACCAATTACATTTCTTAATTACCGTAAATAACCTTTCCACGATTTTTTGAGTTCCAACCTGCATTTAATCAATTTGACATTAAGATGAAAAATTTAGAAAACTTCGCGATTTTTTTTCTAAATATTTTTATAATCCAACCCATATTGTATTACACATCATTTAAAAGAAGAAATCATCAGCTTTAATTTGAGACAAATTACATTTCTTAGTTGTCATAAGTAACCCTTCCATACATTTTTGAGTTTCAACCTGTATTTAGTCAATTTGACATTAAGATCAAAAATTTTAGTAAATTTCGCGATTTTTTTTCTAATTTTAGAATACAACACAATATGTATTATACATCATCATAAAGAAGAAATCATCAGCTTTAATTTGAGACCAATTACATTTCTCAATTACCATAAATAACCCTTCCATGATTTAAGGTTCCGAATCGCCTGCTTTACCAACAACAAGATGTCAAACCACGATTTAATCTAATTTTCACCTTTTCGAACTTTTCTCAATATACAGGGTGATTCAAAAAACCGCTGACAGACTTCTAGAGTAGATAATACATGAAAAATTAAGATGAATAGTCTTAATATACATCGCAAATGCCTCGTTGGTGAGATATAGCGAGATCAAAGTTTCTTTAAAATTAAACATTATCTGCTATAAAAAGCACTTTTTTAAAAATGTTGTCTACACCATTGCTCTCTACGCGTGTAAAGTGATCAATTATCTATCAATTGGTCTCTTACAAAACTTTGATCAAAGCAATAGTTTTTAAGAAAAACACGTTTGTAGAAAATTTGTTAATTCAATCAAAAACTGTTGCTTTAATCAAAGTTTTGTAAGAGACCAATTGATAGATAATTGATTACTTTCAACAAAAATCGACAAAATTAGCAGTGGAGTTGAAAATATTTTTAAAAAAGGGCTTTTTATTGCAGATAATGTTTAATTCTAAAGAAACTTTGACCCGCTATATCTCGTTAAGGAGGCATTTGCGATCCCATGTATATTAAGACTTTTCATCTTAATTTTTGGTGTATTACCTGCCCTAGAAGTCTGTCAGCGGTTTTTTGAATCACCCTGTATATGCATTTGAGAGCAAAAGTGTAAAAGAGCAAAATTGCTAAGCATAAAATTTGCTACAACTTTTATACTTAAACTTTTTTACTAAAACCTTCCGATTTCCATGCTTTATCATTAACAAAACGTAAAACCACGATTTCATCTAATTTTCACCTTTTCGAATTTTTCTCGATATTCTTCCATCTGACAATGAGAGCAAAAGTGTAAAAGAGCAATATTGCTTAGAATAAACTTTGCCATAACTTTTATAGTAAAACTTTTTTTCTATAACGTTCCGAATCCCAAACTTTACCAACAACAAGATGCAAAACCACGATTTCATCTAATTTTCACCTTTTCGAACTTTTCTCGATATTTATGCATTTAAGAGCAAAAGTGTAAAAGAGCAAAATTGCTAAGCATAAAATTTGCTACAACTTTTAACTTAAACCTTTTTTCAAAAATATTCTGATTTTCGTGCTCTATCATCAACAAAGATGCAAAACCACCAAATCATTTAATTTTCACCTATTTACATTTTTCTCAATAATTATGCATCTGATTGCAAAAGTGTAAAAGAGCAATATTGTTAATAATAACCTTTGCCTTTCTTAGAGGGGGCTAGAAAAATAACTAACTTCATAAACACTTAATTTTGATTATTAATTAATATTTCTTGTTTTAGCACCTTCTCATATAAGTGGAGATGCTTTAATAACATCAACTCAAGTAAAAGATTATTATGCGCCAAACGCTTATTTACCAGATAATGTTGATATAAATCGACAACCGATTACCGTTGGGTAAGTCCATCTTTCTCTTTATTCTTTTTAAAATTTTAATTTTCATTCTCGTTGTTACACCGTCACAACATCAACATTGATCAAAGTTAAAAGATTTTTTTTTATTTAGGAGTTTGTGTTTTGGGCCTATGTTTAAATGTTTAATACATTTTCATAAAAAAAATCAATCTTTTAATTTGTTTGATTTATGAAAATGTAAGGTGAAATTTATTTCTGTTTTATTGTTGTTGGCTGTTTCCCTTCCCCATTTTAAATAAACCCCCTTTTATAAATAGCCTTTTTTACTACACACACCTTAAAGACGTTTAAACCAGCATCATTGTAGTAGTTGTATTGCTTACTTATACAGTAACGAATGGTCTACGCTAGAAATTATGCTGAAGCAACTGGGTCCGTACGATCGACGAGGTTCCGGTTTGTGCAGAGAAAGGTACCGCTGTTAGTCTTTGGTACTAAGGTACAATTTATTTAGAGCACCGAATGCGGCACAACAAAAACAACTAAAAAATCAACACAATCTGTATTTTTTGAGTTTCTTTAACACATGTTTGAATTCCCCCCCTAATCCTTGCATATATATATTTTTAATTGATTTCATCTTCAACATATTCATTGAAAATGAAAATTATAATACACAAAATTTGTGTTACATAAATTAAAATTATTTTATATAATTGTGTCCGTTTAAATTGTGTAATTTTTGATCCCAAAATTTCTTTTTTGGAATTTAATTTTTTTGGTAACTAACTGCATTTTTTTTCTGTTTGGGATTTTGTGTTGTGGCAACAGTTTATCCAGTTGGAAAAAGTAAGTTTTGTGTACAGCGTGTTACAATTAACCTATCATTCTTGTTATAATATTAATTGTTCATGTTTTTTCGTTGTAAATAAAAGCTTAACACTGTTTATAATGCATTTCAACCCCGAATTTTTTGAGTTTTATTTAGACATAGAGAGTTGTCCGTTAATTGTAATCACCACCTTTAATCGCTATAATTTTTGTGTTTATAATTTTATTTTTGTAGGATTAATTTGATTTTTTAGAATTCTCAAACATCCTTATGATTAGAATTAGAAAAAAAAATTTAGCCCTAATTTATCATCTAATCTAGTTAACACTAGATTAAGAAGTAGATAGTGATTAAAAATTTCTAATTCTACATGGTGATTGATAATTCCTGGACAATAACAACACTTTTACACTCATTTGAATTTTTTTTTTCGTAACTCAACACCCTAAAATTTTAATAATCTCCATTAAATTAATTCTTATTTTTCCAAATTTAGCTTTCTGGTGTCATTTTTGGTAGACGCGAGGGGTGGTGCGATGAGAGGGTGTAGACACTCTGGGGTTAGAGTGATCGTTCCACCTAGATGTGCTGCAAGTCCAACCAGGATTACCTGCCGATACGTGCGACCCAAAAAGATTCAACATCCTCCACCTTTAATGGAAGGTGAAGCTTTGGCAAGTCGAGTTTTGGAATTAGGACCAGTTGGCGCTAAATTTTTAGGGTGCGTTTAAAAAGTTATTAATAAATTCGTTTTTTCAATCTTATTTTTTTGATGTTATAGGCCGGTTATTTTGGAAGTACCCCATTTCGCTTCTTTGAGAGGAAAACAACGCGAAATCGTAGTCTTAAGATCCGAAAATGGGGAAACTTGGAAGGAACATACTTTGGAGGCCAATGAAGAAGCTGTTCAAGATGTTTTGAATCATAGTTTTGAAGGAGAAGGTGAATTAATTCCCCATTTAGTATAAATTTTAACTCATAAGATATGTGATGATTTTAAGATCGCTTAAACTTTTTTTGGAGTCTTCTGGATACTGGCCAAGTTAACTATGTGTTCTTAATATCTTGGGGAAAAGGCGAAAAAGTTGCATTTCTTTTTGTTTATGTGCAGGTTGAGGTTCTGCACAATTCCTACAAGACCTTATAGGGCTGTGTCAATAAATTTTTGAAACTCATTCAAGGCTGTTTTATTTGGAATGAAACTATTTCTTGAACTCATAAGATATGTGATGATTTCAAATTCGCTTCCACTTTCTTTTGAGTCTTCTGGATACTGGCCGAGCTTACTATGTGTTCTAAATATCTTATGAAAGAGACGAAAAAGTTGCATTTCTTTTTGTTTATGTGCATGTTGAGGTTCTGCACGATTCCTAAAAGACCTCGTTGGGCTGTGTCAAAAAATTTTTGAAACTCATTCAAGGCTGCTTTAATGCGAATAAAACTAATTTTTTTAACTCATAAGATCCGTGATGATTTCAAATTCGCTTCCACTTTCTCTGGAGTCTTTTGCATACTGTCTGAGCTAACTATGTGTTCTAAATATCTTATGAAAGAGGCGAAAAAGTTGCATTTCTTTTTGTTTATGTGCAGGATAAGGTCGTACACGATTCCTGTAAGACCTTGTAGGGCTGTGTGGATAAATTTTTGAAACTCATTCAAGGCTACTTTAATTCAAATAAAACTAATTTTTTTAATTCATAAGATACATGATGATTTTAAGCTTGCCTTCACTATTTCTGGAGTCTTCTGGATACTGGTCCAGCTAACTATGTGTTCTTGACAAGATTGACAAGGTAGACAAGGTTGCATTTGTTTTTGTTTATGTACAGATTGAGGTCCTGCATGATTTCTGCAAGAACTTGTAGGGCCGTGTCGATAAGATTTTGAAACTCATTCAAGGCTGCTTCAACCGTTTGAGTGCGGAACAAATTTTGTGAGCATATGCCAAAAATGCGGAGCATCCGCACTCAAACGGTTAATTCCAAAGAAATTCATTTTTTAACTCATATGATACGTGATTTCCAGATCGCTTCCACTTTCTCTGTAGTCTTCTGGATACTGTCTGAGTTAACTATGTGTTCTAAATATCTTATTAAAGAGGTGAAAAGGTTGCATTTCTTTTTTTTATGTGCAGGTTGAGGTCGTGCACGATTCCTGCAAGGGCTGTTTCGATAATTTTTTAAAACTCATTCACGCTGCTTTAATTCCAAAGAAGCGCTTCAACTTGTAAGAACCTCGGTGTGTCGAAATTGTCTGAAATCGTCAATCTGTATCTAGCATTAGCTGCTGGTATGCTTTATGAATGTGCAATACGCAGAAAACTGGATGTGGGTGTTTCATGTCACTAGCCTGTTTTCCTGAAATAAAAGTCATTAGATTTACTTACCACTCCTGATGTGTGCCATTGTAGGGAGCAATCTCAGAAGAATATTCAGCACCATCTGAGCCAGCTTTTGATCTTTCACATCTTCATCTTTGCCCTTCCTTTATTCAGTCTTTTCACTTCTCTCCTTTTTTTTTGTTTTTCCTTGATATTTGCCGAGCTTTTAAGGCAACTTCTTCCAGTTGCTGGATGTAATCTATCACAATTTGCGTATCTGGCAGCAGAGGTTTTTGTCTTTGGACATTCAGATGATGGGTGCTTACATCTGTACTAAGGCGTACATCTGTGGAAAACGTAGCTAAATAGATGGCATTTAAAGCATTATTGCACCCATTTATTGTTGCCTCTTAGGTTCGGTCTTCACCTGCAATTAACAATTTTTCCAGACTTCAAATAACGTCTTCCCTTCTTTATTCTTGGTAGTGTTTGATCTTACTTGATCTTATTATTAGTAATACTACCGACTCCGCTCTTGCGTTTTCCTGCTCTATTCATTTTGCTCGTTCATTACCTATACATCATGGTGACGCTTTCTGTTTTAGAAAAGCCCGCTTTCCTGAATTAGATGAATACTTTAATGAAATTGCGTCTGAATCAGAACTTGGTGGCCGCGATATCAATGACGCGGTTCAAATTTTTTATAACTATGTCAATACTGCTATACGCGAATTTGTGCATTTAAAACGCAAAGCTACCAAGGGTTTTCCTACTTAGTTTTCACATAATATCATTAAAGTAATTCGAGAGAAAAGGAAGGCGCACTGTAAATGGAAGCGTTTTGGCAACCGACTTGACTACCTTACTTTTTCAATTCTAAGGAGTCGTGCAAAGTATCTAATCCATCTTAATTATATGGAGTACGTTAGAAAAGCTGAAAGCAATATCCAATCTGACCCAAAGATGTTTTGGGCTTTTACTAAGTCTAAGAAGAATGGGGATGTCTGATTTCTTTTCTTCAGTTTTTGTTGATCCTTCCCCAATCCAGCAGAATGCGGATTGTGTGAAAACAGATGCTTTTCCTTTGAGTTAGATGCAGTTTGGCAGGATTGAGGTTGAGGAGGCCTTGATGGGCGTCAGGGTTACTGACAGTATTGGTACTAATGGTATTCCATCAATTTTGAATGTTCACACTCTCTGTCTGTTATTTTGCCAGCATATGGGAAAGTATATAAGAAAATGGTTTAAGCACGTCTATTTTTTGCCATTAGTCTAAAATCAATTGTAGATAACATGGTTTTTTGCTGGTCGCTCGGTTGAGAGTAACTTGCTTAAATATATCTTATCTTCTCTGGAGGATTCTTGTCAAGTTGATTCAGTTTATACGGATTTTAGTAAAGCTCGACCGGGTGCATCACAACTTACTTCTGTTTAAACTAACGAAGTTTGGTATTCAGGCTAAACTTTTGCAATGGTTTGCTTCTTATCTGAAAGAGAGATGCCAGATTGTTTCAGTTAATGGTGTTTTCAAGGTAGCCATCTAGGCCCTTTACTGTTTGTTATTTATGTTAATGACCTATTTGACGTAGTTAATTATACCCAATGTTTAATGTTCTAGATTGCAATTTGATTTAGATAATCTTCATGTTTTTTGCTTAAATAATCGCCTTTCATTAAACTTCTCAAAGATTTATCAATCTAAATCATTTTTGTATTAAAACAGAGTTGAATCAAATCGAAGATCTTCACACGAACAGAATTACGAGAATTTTAACGAACGATTTCCCCCATTATTTCGCCGTTGTGTCAAGAGTACGACAAGACGTTTACGCAATCGGACCGGATGGTGGTACAGTTTCAAGTACAGCGGTTCCTCTGGTTCAAGCAGTTTTTCCACAAAACGCTTTAACCAAAAAAATAAGGGTTGGATTACAGGTAAAATCATTTCTGTTATAGACATTCTTTTTTAATAAATTAATGCATTAGGCACAAGCTATCGAGTCCGAAACAGTTTCAAAACTTCTCGGTCACGGAGTCGCCGTTTCTCCAATAGTAACGGTCGAACCAAGACGAAGAAAATTCCACAAAGCGATTACGTTGAGTTTACCAGCTCCTAAAGCACACACACAAGGGATGATAAACCAGTACTCAGGGTTTGCATCAACTTTAAGACTTCTATGTTCGATTACAGGTAAACAATTTTTGTTATTATAATTTTTTTTATTTAAGTTTAGTTCAAAGAAACATTACGAGTTCATAGGGATTCTTGTAATGACGTTATGGTTCTTGTTTTGCACACTGTAATATTTCAGTTTAAAAAATCCTTTACACCACCATGATTATAAGTTAATATTTTTCATTTACATTATCTTTCCAAATTTGAAACAGTATTCAAAGTATCTTCTAATAATGTTTGATTATTATGGATCATTCACCCAGAAATTGCAGGAGACTTTTGAGATTAATCAAAATAATAAAAGTAAAATAAAATCGTATCTCACAAGTTTCTTTGTATAATAAAATAATCATAATTTTTTGTTATGTATGCATGTTCACTCTATTTAACGTAATATTGTTGTGTTACTGTTGCAAATTGTGTTATGTCGTATACATGCTTCGATATAGGGAACAAATCAGGTAAATTAGTGCTCTTATCTTTATAACAAAACAATTAAACTTTATGTTTAGTTTAGATTCCTTCCTGATTGGATGCTTTTATTGTATTTAAAACTACTTTGGTTTGCAAGAAAGATACAAATAGAGATCACTAATTATTCACGTTAAATAAAAAACACACTAAAGTATCTTAATTGCAGCGGATTAATTTAAAACATTTTTTTCTATATTTTCTCTTTAATTAGGCGGTCAAAATAAAGCTGTTTGGGAAGATGTAACCGGTTCAACGCCTTTATCTTTCGTTAAAGAATGCGTATCTTTTACAACAACGGTGTCTGCCAGGTTTTGGTTAATGGATTGTAGAAATTTTTCCGATTCAGCTCGTATGGCAACTGAATTATATAATCAGGTTAAAAGAATATACAACATACAGGGTGTTTCAAATGTCTGGAATATAGCCAATCATTTCGCCATTTGTGGTTTTAAAGAAAAATGTTTCAAATATAATTTTTTTTATTAATCGTGGCGCATTTTTTTGGCGATATTTGCTTGTTTACATTGTTTTTTTGTTTCGTTGCTATGGCAACCAACATTGTTATTTTAAATGTAATGCATCAAGGTCCGTTGTGTATTGGTTATACGGTTATCCAACTCGAACAAATTGACAAAAGTATAAATATAATATACAGGTGCCCATTATGTCAAGTACCTCGAATTCCGAACACTAGATGTAGAACAAGAAACATTCGGGTTTTGCCGTCTTTAGAGACGTGAGGCTAAACCCGAATGATTCTACTTCTAGGTGTAATGTTAGTTCTATTTCAGTAAAAATAGACAACAATTTAATGCTTAGTAACAATTAAAACTAGAACTAACACTAGACCTAGAAGTTAGCCCGAAACTTTCTAGTTTTAGATCTAGTGTTAGTTCTAGTTTTAGTGCAATAAAAATATACAACATAGTGATATCTAGCAACATCATGTTTGGACTCATTTTAATGTTTTTTTTAATAAAGAATACATCATAAAAGAACACCATGAAGTTGTCCATTTGTCTATTATATGATAACTAACTTCAGATTTAAAATATCAACCTCAATTTTGACATATTTGTAATCTTCATTAAAAATCCTTTAAAATGAGTACAAACACGACATATTTATCTTCAATATTAATGAAGTTATGGTCAACTTCCGGTTAAGAATGTCAACGTCAATTTTGACATATTTGTAATCGTCGTGAAAAATCCTTTAAAATGAGTCCAAACATGATACGTTTAATTCCAATATTACTCGAGATATAAGCAACTTCCGGTTTGAAATGTCAATGTCATTTTGACATATTCTTAATTTTTATAAAATGTCTTAATATTTGTCACAAAAACAAAAATATAATAAAAAAATATCAAAAATTAAGGTTGGTATTAATATTTAAAAATTAAATTGCTATCTTCATTGTTGCTAACTTCGGGTTTAATGTTTTTTATTCTAACTTTTTTGTTTTTTGAGATAAGTGCGTCATGTTTGGACTCATTTTAAAGGTTTTTTAATGAAGATGACAAATATGTCAAAATTGACGTTGACGTTTCAAACCGGAAGTGATTGTATTTCCATTAATATTAAAGTTAAATATGTCGAGTTTGGACTCATTTTAAAGGATTTTTTATGAAGTTGACAAATATGTCAAAATTAAAAGTTGAAAGTTCGAACTTTTTGGTTTTTTGAGATAAATGCGTCATGTTTGGACTCATTTTAAAGGTTTTTTAATGAAGATGACAAATATGTCAAAATTGACGTTGACGTTTCAAACCGGAAGTGATTGTATTTCCATTAATATTAAAGTTAAATATGTCGAGTTTGGACTCATTTTAAAGGATTTTTTATGAAGTTGACAAATATGTCAAAATTAAAAGTTGAAAGTTCGAACTTTTTGGTTTTTTGAGATAAATGCGTCATGTTTGGACTCATTTTAAAGGTTTTTTAATGAAGATGACAAATATGTCAAAATTGACGTTGACGTTTCAAACCGGAAGTGATTGTATTTCCATTAATATTAAAGTTAAATATGTCGAGTTTGGACTCATTTTAAAGGATTTTTTATGAAGTTGACAAATATGTCAAAATTAAAAGTTGAAAGTTCGAACTTTTTGGTTTTTTGAGATAAATGCGTCATGTTTGGACTCATTTTAAAGGTTTTTTAATGAAGATGACAAATATGTCAAAATTGACGTTGACGTTTCAAACCGGAAGTGATTGTATTTCCATTAATATTAAAGTTAAATATGTCGAGTTTGGACTCATTTTAAAGGATTTTTTATGAAGTTGACAAATATGTCAAAATTAAAAGTTGAAAGTTCGAACTTTTTGGTTTTTTGAGATAAATGCGTCATGTTTGGACTCATTTTAAAGGTTTTTTAATGAAGATGACAAATATGTCAAAATTGACGTTGACGTTTCAAACCGGAAGTGATTGTATTTCCATTAATATTAAAGTTAAATATGTCGAGTTTGGACTCATTTTAAAGGATTTTTTATGAAGTTGACAAATATGTCAAAATTAAAACTTGAAAGTTCAAACTTTTTGGTTTTTTGAGATAAATGCGTCAAGTTTGGACTCACTTTAAAGGTTATTTTATGAAGATTACGAATATAATAAAATTAAAGTTGACATTGACAACTGAAAGTTTTTTTCACGACTAAACCCGACTGTTTCTAGTTCTCTTTCTAGTTTTAGTTCAATAAAAATATTCAACATAGTAATATATTATGCTAACTAGCGCTACCTACCACTACCACTAGAACTAACACTAGACTAGGTTCTAGGTCTAGATTCTAGTTCTAGGTCTTGTGTTAATTCTAGTGATAGTGCTAGTGTAAAACTAGAACTAACACTAAACCTAGAACTAGAAATATTCAGGCTTTTCTAAGTTCTTGTCTAAGACGCCTGGCTAAACCTAAAACATTCTAGTTCTAGTGTTAGTTCTAGTGTTAGTTCTAGTTTTAATTGTTATTTAACCCTAAATTCTTGTACATTTGAATTGATCTACAAAATTTTTTTGATTTAATCCACTTACCTTGTTTATAATTTCATCCATTGATCCATTTTGAATTAAATACAACCTTTAAATCCAATTAATTGTGTTTTTCATTAAAAAAACTTAAATTAAACGTCAATTGTGACAAGCACCTGCAATATTTGGATCTTAATCACCATGGTAACCGAGTCAAGTTGGATAACCTTAAAATAATAAAATTTTATTCCGATTTTTTTATCAATTCTAACCTAATTTTTATTAATTTTAAAACAATTCGAATTCTTTACGATTATCTCGCATNGTCCATTTGTCTATTATATGATAACTAACTTCAGATTTAAAATGTCAACCTCAATTTTGACATATTTGTAATCTTCATTCAAAATCCTTTAAAATGAGTACAAACACGACATATTTATCTTCAATATTAATGAAGTTATGGTCAACTTCCGGTTCGAAATGTCAATATAAATTTTGACATATTTGTAATTGTCGTGAAAAATCCTTTAAAATGAGCCCAAACATGATACGTTTAATTCCAATATTAGTCGAGATAAAAGCAACTTCCGGTTTGAAATGTCAATGTCGTTTTGAGAAATTCTTAATTTTTATAAAATGTCTTAAAATTTATTACAGAAACAAAAATACAATAAAAAAAAATTAAAAATTAAGGTTGGTATTAATATCTAATAATTTCATAATAACTTCATTGTTGCTAACTTCGGGTTTAACGTTTTTTTTATTCCAACTTTTTTGTTTTTTGAGATAAGTGCGTTATGTTTGGACTCATTTTAGAGGTTTTTTAATAAAGAATACATCATAAAAGAATACCATGAAGTTGTCCATTTGTCTCTTATATTATGATAACTAACTTCAGATTTAAAATGTCAACCTCAATTTTGACATATTTGTGATCGTCGTGAAAAATCCTTTAAAATGAGTCCAAATATGATACCTTTAATTCCAATATTACTCGAGATATAAGAACTTCCGGTTTGAAATGTCAATGTCATTTTGACATATTCTTAATTTTTATAAAATGTCTTAAAATTTATCACAAAAACTTTTTTGTTTTTTGAGATAACTGCGTCATCTTTGGACTCATTTTAAAGGTTTTTTAATGAAGATGACAAATATGTCAAAATTGACGTTGACGTTTCAAACCGGAAGTGATTGTATTTTCATTAATATTAAAGTTAAATATATCGAGTTTGGACTCATTTTAAAGGATTTTTTATGAAGTTGACAAATATGTCAAAATTAAAAGTTGTAAGTTCGAACTTTTTGGTTTTTTGAGATAAATGCGTCAAGTTTGGACTCACTTTAAAGGTTATTTTATGATGATTACGAATATAATAATAAAATTAAAGTTGACATTGACAACTGAAAGTTTTTTTCACGACTAAACCCGACTGTTTCTAGTTCTCGTTCTAGTTTTAGTTCAATAAAAATATACCTACAACATAGTAATATCTTATGCTAACTAGCGCTACCTACCACTAGAACTAACACTAGACCTAGAAACATTCGGATTTAGTCCCACGTCTCTCAACACGGCTAAACCCGAATGATTCTAGTTCTAGGTCTTGAGTTAGTTCTAGTGATAGTGCAAAAGAACTAACACTAAACCTAGAACTAGAAATATTCGGGTTTAGCCATGCGTCTTCAGGCTTTTCTAAGTTCTTGTCTAAGACGCCTGACTAAACCTAAAACATTCTAGTTCTAGGTCTAGTGTTAGTTCTAGTTTTAATTATTATTTAACCCTAAATTCTTGTACATTTGAATTGATCTAAAAAAATTTTTTTTTGATTTAATCCACTTACCTTGCTTATAATTTCATCCATTTCATTTGCCCATTTTGAATTAAATACAACCTTTACATCCAATTAATTATGTGTTTTTCATTAAAAAAACTTAAATTAAACGTCAATTTTGACAAGCAACTGCAATATTTGGTTCTAAATCGCCATGGTAACCAAGTCAAGTTGGATAACCTTAAAATAATAAAATTTAATTCCGATTTTTTTTATCAATTCTAACCTAATTTTTATTAATTTAAAAACAATTCGAATTCTTTACGATTATCTCGCATTCGTACCAAATTCGTTAATTGTAATTAATTTAAATCGATTCTAATTAAGAAAATTAAATTAAAAATATCTTTTTTTGATTTAATCAACTTACCTTGTTTATTATACTCTAGATTAAGCAATTTTGAGTTAAATACAGCCTTTTAAACCAATTAAATAAAACTTTTTACTTAAAAAAACTTAAATTCAATTTCACTTTTGACAACCACCTGCAATATTTGGATCTTAATCACCATGGTAACCGAGTCAAGTTGGATAACCTAAAAATAATAAAACTTTAACCGTTATATAAAGTGAAATATTTGCTTTATATTTTTATATTTTTTTTATTTTGTTTTATATCTTTTTTTTTTATCAAACATATCAAATCATAACTACATTAAATGTGTGTCACCTAATTAATTTTTCATAATTGTTGAAACTGTCAATTTTTTGACATTTAAAGCTGCGAACGGTTTGATTGTAATTTAATATTTTCAGAGAATGCAACTTTTCTCGATTTTTGTCTTATACATTTATACAATATGATTTGATATGTTTATCGCGTAGAGAGATTTATCCTCTATCAAAATATGCAAAAAGAACATACCTATGCATCCCATTTAAAATAACAATGTTGGTTGCCATAGCATCGAAACAAAAAACAACGTAAACAAGCAAATATCGCCAAAAAATTACGACATAATTCATAAAGAATCTTTTATTTGAAACATTTTTCTTTAAAACCACAAAATACGAAGTTATTGGCTATATTCCAGACATTTGACACACACCTGTATAAAATAATAATATAAATCATTGCATTTTTAGGCAACTCATGTACCATTTATGGCAAAATTTGTCATATTCGCAAAAAGAGTAAGTGGTTATGAAGCAAGGGTGAGAGTATTTTGTATGACTGATGATAAAGAAGATAAAACGTTGGAACAACAAGAACAATTCACCGAAATTGCAAAAAGCAAAGATATTGAAGTTTTGGAAGATAAAGATGTTTTTATGGAGTTTGGTGGTAATTTAGTTCCAGTTTTGCAATCTGGCGATCAACCAAAATTGGGATTTAAAGCTTTTAAAGAGAATAGGGTTGCTTTTACAATGAGACTAAGAGATCCGGTAAATATTAATTTAATTCCCCCAATAAATTCTTTTTTAATATCTAATTCATTAATTTTTAAATAGGATGAAGACCCAAATGGAAGAATAGTTTTCATGAATGATCCGAAAGTAGCAAGAGGTGAACCAACTCAAACCCCAATTTGTACGCTAAATCTTTCACTGCCCAAAGATGTTCTCCCAGATAGAGACTCCCAATCGGATCTTTTATCTTTGGATAAAGACCATAGTTATTTACACCATGGTGGAATTAGTCACCCAGAAACGATTCATAGAGCAGATTTCCGGTTAACTGATATTTGTAATTTATTAGAAAAAGATTGGGAATTATTAGCTTCTGAATTAGATATTCCACCATCGGATATCGCTTTAATTAAAGAGCAATATCCCGAAAATAATTCTCAACAAGCGATGATTATGTTTAGGTTATGGTTGAGGCAAAAAGCTAATAAAGCAACAGGAAATTCTTTAGAATTAGCTTTACATAAAATCGGACGTTCCGATATCGTTGATAAATGTATTTGCAACGTTGAATTGGTCACTGATGACATGGAAAAAGCTTTAGCTAAAGTTAGATTGGATCAATCCGGTTTTGATAGTCTCAAGGACGAACTTGGTTCGTCAAGGGATGCTTCGCTTAAACGAGATGTTACTTTAAAAATATTTAATCAAGACGAAATTGATATTAGTGATAAAAATGGTGATTTTTTCATTTTTATTTTATACATTAAATTTATATAATATGTATATGTTTTTTTTAGATATATCTGATAGGGATTTAACCGATACAATTAGCGAATGTTTAACTTATAATCAAAAGAAAGAAAACGAAATCATCGATTCAAATTTGAACGAGGATATTCCTAAAATTAAAACGGAAATTTTAGAAGGGGTCGTGGAACATTTTAATAAATTGGATATGAGTCCAATTGCGAAAGAACGAGTTTCTATGAATACGCCTCCTCCAAGTCCAGCTGATCTTAAGATTGAAAACGCGCAAGTTTTTCAACAACAAGAAACCCAACCATCAGTTAATGGTAAGATTTTTTTAAATATTTCTATGATTGTGGTGATTTGATTTTTTTGATAACATGGGCCTGCGATGAAAATCTTTTGAAAAATTGTTTTAAGTTTTATTTATAAATTGTCAAAACTGTTTATGATTATTTCGAACCTGAATTTTGATAATTTGCAATAAATGTAACAAGGTAATAGATGTGGGTATAAGAGACTATATGCAAACTGTATTTCAATCTTCAAAATTTGAAATTAAACGTTATTTTATTTCTTAATTAAAGTTGAAATTTGACAAAATTTCTGTCTGAAGCCTTTTCTGTTTCTTTTCGCTACCACATCTTCATCTAAGTTCCTCATTATAGGGTTTAGACATAGATTTGCAGGTGATTCCAAAGCCAAGTTGTTTACATGGTGTGACCCAAGGTTTATATATTAAAGGTTGTCTAAGTTCTTATGCTGCAATACTTTGATTTTAGTTTGTGGGCGAGGGGCAAGAGCAGGAGTGTTTCGTGACGTAAGCGTTCACGGATTGCGCACGCAACCTCATGGCCATGTGGTGCTCCATGCATTTATTTAATTTGAATTGCTTGGCGGTATTATTTTCCACATGTGACGTAATGCGCAGTATGGTTGCGTACAAACCTAGACAACCTTTTATATATAAACCTTGGGTGTGACCAGGAGACTGTGGTGATTGTGCGAGATTCGTTGTTGGTCTTGTCAGTTCATTTTGTATTGTCCTATAAGAGACGAGATTGAAAGAAAAGAAGAATAATTAATAATTTCGCCATTAAATTTTATTTGGTCTTGCTTCCAATGGCTGTAAATTATAGCTACAGTGTGAGGTGATGATAATCATGGTAGTCAAGGCCTCTGATTTAAATCGCTAGAGAATGTAAGAAACTAGAAACACTTTGAGCAAAGGTCCAATTTACTAAATTCTTTTCCTTACTACGTTATCTCGCCTTGAATGGTTATAATCCCAATCTGACATTTCAATAGGTTATTGTAAAGCGACATATATAGGCACATCTTCGGATTCTAGATCATTTTTTACTTTCTCAGAATGGCACAATAATTTGGCCAATCGGGATTGTTTTTTTGTGATTTGGCGAAGATGCAAGGAGACCAGCCCGAATGCTGGAGTGCTTTACGTTGAGATTACTAGCATTACCTTATATAGCAGTGCGTTGATAAAGAGACTGACACATTAAGTCAACTCCCATCAAAACGCAACAATTAGGAGCACTCAAAATATATTTTCACTATTTTTTCGGAGAATATTCTGAATTTCAACATTGTAGTATGCTCAAGGTCAGCAAAATCTGCTTGGATTTGCGCACCGTTTCCTGAAATGTACTTTCTTCCCACAAATGACAACACTTGTATTCTTATAATTCTGAAATTTGTCGAAATTTTGATATTTAAAAGTTCCCATACATTTTTATCGTTGTATATTACCTTTGTTGCCACTCCTTTGCATCACCACCACATCATCTTTTATTTATACCATTACAGTTTTGTTTTAAGTGTTTGGTTTCATTTCGTGGGATGTTGAACATTTTTTCCTTTGTGGATCTTCAAATATTAGGGATATTAATTGAGAAGTCTAGCATACATTGTTTAGAATGAAGAAAATTAAATTAAATAGATAAAAAATATACATTAGCTTCTTCTTCTTCTTTCTTTTAGACTTGTCGGTGTGTTAATTTTGAGGTCATGGACGGACGACCTCCTGGGAGATGGATCGGAACAGTCCAGCAGATTGTTCTGCCATCTTTTTGGTGTTCTTTTTGGAGGACGGCTTCCTGCTGGTTTTCCCTCCATTGTTATACCCGGTAGTTTATGCTCATCCATACTCTTCATATAATAATTTGGCCAATCGGGATTGTTTTTTTATGATTTGGCGAAGATGCAATTAGATTATCCCGAATGCTGGAGCGCTTTACGTTGAGATTTCTCGTATTACCTTATATAGCAGTGCGTTGATAAAGAGACAAGCACATTAAGTCAACTCCCATCAAAATGCAACAATTGGGAGCACTCAAAATATATTTTCGCTATCTTTTCCGAGAATATTCTGAATTTCAACATTGTAGCATGCTCAAGATCAGCAAAATCTGCTTCGTGTTGCGTTCTTCCTGTTGTTCTTCTGCTTGGATTTGTACACCTTTTCCTGAAATGTACTTTCTTCCCACAAATGACAACACTTGTATTCTTATAATTCTGAAATTTGTCGAAATTTTGATATTTAAAAGTCCCCATACATTTTTATCGTTGTATATTACTTTTGTTGCCACTCCTTTGCATCACCACCACATCATCTTTTATTTATACCATTACAGTTTTGTTTTAAGTGTTTGGTTTCATTTCGTGGGATGTTGAACATCTTTTCCTTTGTAGATCTTCAAATATTAGGGATGTTAATTGAGAAGTCTAGCATACATTGTTTAGAATGAAGAAAATTAAATTAAATACATAAAAAATATATGTTAGCTTCTTCTTCTTCTTTCTCTTAGACTTGTCGGTGTTTAATTTTGAGGTCATGGACGGACGACCTCCTGGGAGATGGATCGGAACAGTCCAGCAGATTGTTCTGCCATCTTTTTGGTGTTCTTTTTGGAGGACGGCTTCCTGCTGGTTTTCCCTCCATTGTTATACCCGGTAGTTTATGCTCATCCATACTCTTCATATAATAATTTGGCCAATCGGGATTGTTTTTTTATGATTTGGCGAAGATGCAATTAGATTATCCCGAATGCTGGAGCGCTTTACGTTGAGATTTCTCGTATTACCTTATATAGCAGTGCGTTGATAAAGAGACAAGCACATTAAGTCAACTCCCATCAAAATGCAACAATTGGGAGCACTCAAAATATATTTTCGCTATCTTTTCCGAGAATATTCTGAATTTCAACATTGTAGCATGCTCAAGATCAGCAAAATCTGCTTCGTGTTGCGTTCTTCCTGTTGTTCTTCTGCTTGGATTTGTACACCTTTTCCTGGAATGTACTTTCTTCCCACAAATGACAACACTTGTATTCTTATAATTCTGAAATTTGTCGAAATTTTGATATTTAAAAGTCCCCATACATTTTTATCGTTGTATATTACCTTTGTTGCCACTCCTTTGCATCACCGCTACATCGTCTTTTATTTATACCATTACAGTTTTGTATTAAGTGTTTGGTTTCATTTCGTGGGATGTTGAACATCTTTTCCTTTGTAGATCTTCAATTATTAGGGATGTTAATTGAGAAGTCTAGCATACATTGTTTAGAATGAAGAAAATTAAATTAAATACATAAAAAATATATGTTAGCTTCTTCTTCTTCTTTCTCTTAGATTTGTCGGTGTGTTAATTTTGAGGTCATTGACGGAGGATCTCCTGGGAGATGGATCGGAACAGTCCAGCAGATTGTTCTGCCATCTTTTTGGTGGACGGCTTCCTGCTGCTTTTCCCTCCATTGTTATACCCGGTAGTCTATGTTCATCCATACTCTTCATATAATAATTTGGCCAATCGGGATTGTTTTTTTATGATTTCGCGAAGATGCAAGAAGATCATCCCGAATGCTGGAACGCTTTACGTTGAGATTTCTCGCATTATCTTATATCGCAGTGCGTTGATAAAGAGACATAGACCCTTCTATCGTTTGTCTTTATTTCAGAGGTCATACATATTTCAAATAACTTCGAAATATAATGAGGTGGACGATAATTGCAAGGAGTTCTCGCTAGGATGGTTTAAATTTATACAAAAAAAATCTTGTTTCTTGAACAATGTCTACATGGGGGCAAACGCTGATTTGATATGTCTTGCAATCTTGTTGTTATATCTAGCTGTTGCTTTGTAATTTTTGGCCGAGTCATGTTTTTCTTTTTTTGGTTCTTAGGTTAGTTAGAGCAGCTGTACTAACTAGTACAAGTTGGAACTCGCCTATTTTCCTTTGTGTTTTTTTTTTATACAATTAAGCTTATTTTCTAATAAAGGCATTTATTATTAAGTCAACTCCCATCAAAAAGCAACAATTGGGAGCACTCAAAATATATTTTCAACATTGTAGTATGCTCAAGATCAGCAAAATCTGCTTTGTGTTGCGTTCTTCCTGTTGTTCTTCCGCTTGGATTTGCGCACCTTTTCCTGGAATGTACTTCCTTCCCACGATTGACAACACTTGTATTCTTATAATTCTGAAGCTTGTTTCTTTGTCGAAATTTTGATATTTAAAAGTTCCCATACATTTTTATCATTGTATACTCCTTTGCATCACCACCACATCATCTTTTATTTGTACCATTACAGTTTTGTTTTATGTGTTTGGTTTCATTTCGTGGGATGTCGAACATCTTTTCCTTTGTGGATCTTCAAATGTTAGGGATGTTAATTGAAAAGTCTAGCATACATTGTTTAGAATGAAGAAAATTATTAAATACATAAAAAATATACATTGGCTTCTTCTTCTTCTTTCTCTTAGACTTGTCGGTTTGTTAATTTTGAGGTCATTGACAGAGGACCTCCTGGGAGATGGACTGCTAGTTGTTCTGCCATCTTTTTGGAGAACGTCCCTTTGCTGGTTTTCCAACCCTACCCAACTCAACCAAACCCAACACAACCCAACCCTTTTTTTTTTTTTATTTATAGAGGGGATTAGGAAATCTGCTACCAGACACCCGGCCTAAGTTCTCATGCGACCGGATAGTGACGGGTTGGAAGCAATTCCGACCGTCTAAAACCCTTCCCCCTCTCTTCCCGGCACCGCCCATCAGGGCATTTCATCGGGGAAAAACATACCCTTCTCCTTCACTCCTTGTGAATGACCATGCCTTTTCCGTCTCGGCTTCTTACGGGAGGAGGAGGCAGCACTCCGCCGATCTTCTAAACTCTTCTTACCATCTACCTGCCAATACTATCCACTTCTACTACTTGTTCCAACTATGTAGGTGGCTATGACCTTCCCATCTCGGCATCCTTCAGGAGGAGGAGGCGTCACTCCATTGCGTCAGTTGTCGGATCCGAAAACGATACAATACATTCCCCTTACTTTTTGAAAAACAACTACGTTACAACGTACCTGAGTGTGGGGGGGATTGTTTCCCCCCCCAGCCATTTTTTTTCCTTCTTCAGCTCGGTGACCATTTTATCTCTCTCTCCGCAGCCCCTACTTGCCTCGATCGCACACTTCACCACGGGTTTCACATGGAGAGGCGTTTTATGGAGGAAACGACATAACATTACTTTTTATTCAGTTTGTTATTACATCATACGTACCTGGAAGAGGAGGGGAAGCATCCCCTCCTCTCCCATAACCTCCCGGCGACAGCTCCCACTCCGTCGTCTCCTTCTCCTTCATTATAGTTCTGCACATGTTCGCAATCGCCTCCCATCCCTCTTCACTCTTCAGCATCACCGTCTCCATGTTTGATACACTAATTTTCTGGCCACACTTCTTTTCACACACCCCTCCTGCCACATCTTCACCGTTCTCTCTTTGAGCTCGTTTGCCGCATCTTTCCCTCTTTCGCACCCAACCCAACACAACCCAACCCAACCCATACTCTTCACCTTGCTGCACCATTCTCTTCTTGGGTGTCTGCCTCCATCGTACAAGTTCTACATCCCACACTGTTCCTGGATGTTTCTAATTTTGTCTTTTCACGTTTTGTCTAGGATAGTTCTTAAAGTTTTCATTTTAGCAACCCTCAGAATGTTTTTCGTCTTGTTGGTATCTTCACGAGTCATACTGTAGGTCATAATGGGTATTATGCAAGTTTGTGACTGCAGTAAATGTCCATACCTAGATATCTGAAGGTATTCACTTGGTGGTCCACAACCAGTTTATACCTGACTGGTTCCTTGGCAAATGTCATGGCCTCTATTTTATTTATAGATATTATCACATTGAGGTGTCTTGCCAACTGGTAGAACTTAAAAAGTTGTCTTTGGAAGTCATCTTCAATCTTTGCTATGATAACTGCTACTATAAGCTATCTATAAGCTATTTCCTTCTTTGATTCCTGCTGCTGTTTTGTTATTTGAGATTGTGTCTTTGATAAATTATGATTTTGTGGTTGCTATTACTTCTATAGTATTTTGTAGTTTCGAATAAAACTTCGCTGATTCTTCTGCGTTCTTGGATCTGATTGATTTCTGTGTATTCATTTACTTATTCCATGTCTTCTATGTTCTGCGTGTACGTTTTTTAAGCCGACACCTAATCTAATAATTATATAAATAAACTAAGTAGTAATTAATTTAAGACAATTTTACAATCGCAGGTCTATGTAAATTCTTTTTTTTTTTTTTGCTCTGTGTTCTTTTTTTTTTATGCATCTTGTGTTTAAGGTTTTTGTTGTACATTTTTGACTTTTTATTAATTTCGTTTTACTTTTATTAATTTTGGTTGGTGTACCATTTTTTTACCATTAATTATAATTTAATACATTTACAGAGGAACTTTTTTTTCAATTTTATGTCCTATGCAGGATTGTGTGTGTGAATTTTAAATTGGGTTTTAATTTTCGTTCGTTTATTATTTATTTTACATTTTTTTTTAATTGAAATTTTTTTACTAACTTCGCCAGCACCTTTTTTTTTACTAATCACCCCCCATAATCATGCCCATTTTAATATGCTGACCATTAATTTTTATTCGTTTATATGCGTTTGTTTTTAGTTAACTCGTTTTTTATTTAGTTTTTGTACGCTTTTTAATTCCTCACGCTCCCCTTTAATTTTTGCTGCTTCCTTACAGCCTTTTTAACAAACGTCTAAGTCTCTCTTATCTTTATGGACAACGTATAGGGTGACTTATAAATAGAGCAGGTATTCTTTTTACCATCTGATTTAAATTTTTTTTAATTTTTAAATCAGGTCGTAAACATTTTAGCGCTCACATTACTTGACACAAAATTTTTTATTATAAGCCACACTATAAGCTTTCATAAATAGAAGTGCTGTAGTCTTTTTGTTTTCCCTAAAGGAGAACTAAATCCTCCAACATCAACATCTACACCCACCAAACATTTTATTCCACAAGAAGATGAAGTAATTAATGAAATTAACGAGAAAATCGTGGAAGTTGAAATAAACGAAGAACCGAAAGCTTTAATTTTAGAAGAAGAAAAAGTGATTATTCACCAGGAAATCGATCCGATTGAAAAGCTTAAGCAAAACGTTAATGATACATTAACATTTTTACATTCTGAAAGAAACGATTTTCTTCCCGATGAAGATATCATCATACCAAGTAGAAAAGATGACCACGTCTCCCAAGATATTAATTTAGATATGATAAAGAAATTGGATAAAAAATCCAATTTACGTTTAGATTTAGACGTTGATAATAATGAAATGATAGTGAATAACGTTAGAACGATCGTTTTAAATGAAATTACGGATGTTATTAAAGAATTAGATGTTGACGAAGAAGAATTGCGACAAGAAGTTGAGCCTCAAGTTAACGAAGTTATTCGCGAAGCCGAAGATGTTGTTAATGATTTAAAAACAACGGGGAAAGATTATATTATGTACAGCACGGATACTTTATCAAGCAATGAAGACTTTGATTTACCCCAAAAAAGTAACGATTTAGAAGAGAAAAATTGGGCTGAGAGAAACGCCAATTGGAACGAATCTACGTCAGAGCAAGTTACAGGTTCCTCAAATAATTGGACCCACACCCCAGATGAAAAAATTAATTTTTGGACGGAAACTATAGAACAACTCGATGAGGAAATTGAGAGTGTTGGTGAAGATGTTAAAGAACAGCAACAAAATGAACTGGAAAAACTTGCAAATGTATTGTTAGAGACGAAAAGTGAGTTGGAGGAAATTAAAAATCAATTAAAAGAGCTTCCCGAAAATGTTCAACCACAAAAAACGAAAGATTCATCTCAAAATCTTTATGAAAACATACCTTTTAATATAAAAGAAGAAACAAAGAATTTCGTTGAAAAAGAAATGAATTACGCCGAAGTAACCAAAAAAAATTTAAGACCAACCGTAGAAATACCAAAAAAAATTGAAGAAACATCCTTAAACGATTCTTTAACGAAAGCCCAAGAAGAAGCATTTAAATTCTTAGAAACAGAAATTTCGAGTCCTTTAACACCATCCCCGAGAGACCCCCCAAAATCAGTTTCATTCACGCCCGATTCCCCATCAAAATCAACCACCGTAACCACAATCATAACAGGTACCCCAAAAAGTAGCATACCAATCGCAAAACCTCGCCAAAGTAAAGAATTCGTCGAAGAACGAGTATCTTCACCAACCGAAAGCGAAATATTAAGTAAAATTCCCGTTTGCGCCTCAAATTCTAAAGGAAAAGTAAAAACGATTAAAAAACATTCTAAGGATCCCCTAAAAGAATTTGTTAAGTTAACTCAAGATGTTAATTGGGACGAAGAGAACGTTGTTATTAAAAGTGCCGATCCGATTGTAAAAACAACCGTTACAAGGATAATTACGGAACATTCGCCGAATCAAGTTGAGAAAATTAGTCAATTTGAGAAAGATAAAAGTAAAATTCCTGTTTATCATACGGTGACTGAAACGATTACGAGAGAATGTAGTTCGGAAAATAATTCGACGGTTAAGGGTAATAGTAAAATTCCGGTGCTTGTTTCTGAAACTACGAAAATTTTGAGTCCCGAAGAGAAAATGTCGTTGATTTCGTCTCAAAAGTTTCCGTCGGTGGAGTCTAGTTTAGTTTCTCCCGGTTCGGATAAGACGAAAACTTCTAAAGGGAGTACAATCGACTCGGATTCGGATACTGATAGTAGACGCAGTCCGCCTCTTAAAGGTATACTGAAGAAAAGTAGCATTAGAACGGTCGGTAGTTCTAGTGGATCAGATATAGCGCTTCATGAAGGTGGGGCCGAGCTTAGTGACGATGATTCAGGTAGGAATTAGTCACGTAGTGTGTTTTTAACCTTCCCCATATTTTATTAATAATAAAACAGAATAGATGCTTTAGATATTATTTATTCCTATTTTATTTATTTTTTTTATGAAACATTCAAGTTAAATATAAATTAGAAATATTTTTGATGTAGGAATTGTAGTTATATTTTAGAGAGCTTTTTGAAGCTAGAATAATTAAACTTTTTATACATATTTGTTACCATCAGAATCATAAAATATTGATGTTTGTTTAAATATTAACCAGAGAAATTTTTAATGGCTCATCAATTTTTATACGCTGTTCATTAATTAAATAAAATTGAAACTAAAATTAAAATTATTTAAAATATAATAAAATATGTACGTTTATTTATAAAACTAAATGTTTTTTTTTTAATTTAAATTATTAAAAAGTAGATACATTTTTTTTAATTCTTTTTATTTTAGTTTCAACTTAATATTTTTTTCCTCTGAAACGAACTTTATCACAAACTTTTTTGTGCTTTGATCCCGAATTACGAAATTGTCAATTTTTGTAGGATCGGTGTGAAAATCCATCCTATTATGCTGCTCGTCAATAATTTGATCTCACGTCTTCATTAAAATACTAAAAGGTTCTTAAAACAAGATAGATAAACAGATAAAAACCAGTTAAGCATGTTTACTTAACGTCTCAATAATACCTCATTTGTTGCACCCCAATTTGTGGTTGCCCGAATTTTCTTGCAACTATCTTTGTACGTGTTTGTCTAACATGACTACTCATAACAGTGACTCCTTTGCCTTTGCTAATGAGATAGAGGGTCGCCAATGTAACCTTAGATTTGCTTGTAGAAAGACTGAGCCTTATTAGAACTTAAAACAACCTCATACCAAAAATTTCTTAAGTCTTTTTCAAAGACTGTTGAGGTTTTGTTCAACTTGTCAGTGTTCTCCTTCTATACCAAGTTTTACAAGTACAAGTACGATATCAATGAGTACTAAGTCTAAGGCTAGAATTATTAGTTTTCGTGATCTCCGTGGTATTGACGTTTGTGCCTTTGATAAGGCATTTGATGAATTGGGAAGCTGTCCTTGATCTTAATACAACTGATGACAAACTGAATTGCTTTAATGATGCTATGTTATCCTTATTTGATTTTCATGCACCTGTGATTACTAAGGTAATCAGAAAGCGTGCTTTGCCATGGATCACTTGAAATGTCAGGCAAATGATTAAACTAAGGAATTATGAGGCTTAGGAATTAGAAAGCATTTGCTAAGTATAAAAGGATTAGGAGTCAGCAGAGTTTTCAATATTATAAGACTCTACGAAATTACGTCACGGGTGCTATTATCTAATGAGAGCTATTATTCACGAAGGTTAAGGTTATGTCACGAGCGTAGCGAGTGGCATAATTAACCCGAGTGAATAATAGCTCATTATATGCGAGTAGAATACTATACTTTGTCCACGACTATTGAAATTGATTCCATAAATTTATTTTTTAAATAAATTTTTGAATAAAGGTTAAACGTCAATGTGACACAAATCCAATGTTACTAACTGTAACCAACTTCACAACAATTTGTCAAAATTAAGTGTCAGTTTTATAAAACGTCGTTTTCTTTACAAAAATTAATTAATTTATGCTTAAATCATACGAAAAAACGAATTTGTTTAGGTTTTTTAATGTCAAACATTTAGAAACTCCTAAAAAATTGAATTAAACTGACGTTTTTTTACTTTTAACGTTTCAAATAATTATTATTAGTCTGGTCAAGATGGCTACCCGTGAATAATGATTATTATTCACCGCTATTATTCACTCCGTGAAAAATGACTACCATTTTGTTTTAGAAAACTCATTCATAAGGTATATATTATAAGGTAGTCGTGGACAAAAGTCATTTTTTGAAAAAAATTTAATCGTCGGTGATTCTAAGCGTTTGTGGAAAAACCTAAGAAGGTTTAACGTGTTGAAATCTTCTGCTATTTCGTTGCCTTCTCATTTGTCAATACATTTTTTAGTAACAGTGTAAATGACTTCTTGGTTACTCCTGATATTAATCTTCTTGCTTTTTATAACAATAATAGGATGCATCCTGCTTGGTCCATGTTTGCATTTAGTGAGGTCTCTACTGAGTGTATTCAGCAGATTTTATTGAACCTAAGGTCTACAGGAGTTGTATCTGATGGAATCAGCCTGGATATGATTCGACTCTGTTGTCCACGTATTCTTGACGTGCTTGTACATCTTTTCTATTTTTGTTTGATTCATTCAGTGTTTCAGGATTGCTGGAAGTATGGTTGTAAGGATCTGAGGCCCATTACAATTCTGCCGTTTTTTTCAAAGATCTTAGAAAGACTTATGATAAAGCAGTTAAATATTTATCTGGAAACACATTGCATTTTGTCTCTTAAGCAGTCGGGGTTCAGGAGACAGTTCAGTTGTGATTCTGCACTCCTCGATTTGACTGATGATGTACTCAGGTCTCTGGACCAGGGTAAATGCACAGTATTAATTTTACTTGATTTCATTAAGGTCTTTGATATCCTTGATCATAGTCTCCTGTTGTGCATTTTGAAGTTTATTGGATTGTATGTTCATGCAGTTAAGCTATTCGATAGTTATCTATCAAATAGGGTTCAGTCGGTTGAGCTGAATTCTGTTTTATCTGATTCTGTGATCGGCACTTCTGGTGTTCCTCAAGGTTCTATTTTGGGCCTCGCCCTTTTCACCATTTACACTTGCGATCTATTTTCCAAACTTGAGTATTGTTCTTATCATCTGTATGTGGCTTGAGAATAAATCCTGATAAGACTCAGGGTATCATATTCTCTAAAACAGGTGGTGGGTTTGTGGATGGGTCTCGAGTTCGGACGAGGTTAAAAATTTGGGCTTCATTATAGATAGTCAATTGAGTGTTGGTAGGCATATAGGGTTGAGATCAAGCGGTTATTATGTGATAGCCTAGTTTTGTCCAACTTCAATTATTGTAGTGTTGTTTTTAGCTCTTGCTTGTCTTTTGAATCAATGCGCAAGGTACAAGTTGTTCAAAACTCTTGCTTGCGCTTTGTTTATGGCGTTAAACGAAGAGATCATATTTCCCCCGTTCTAATGTCTAGTGGTTGGCTGAATATGAAACAAAGATTCCGTGTGCAATATTTGTGTCTAATTTATAGGATTCTTCACAAAGGGAAACCTCCATACCTTGTTCATAAAATAAGACTTAGAACACCTTTTTTTACCGGATTGCGCAACTATGGAACTCCTTGTCTGTCGAGGTTAGATGTGTTTGCTCATCCGCGCAGTTGAGGAGGTTGATTATTCGGAAGACTCTGAATACTAACTTTTGATTTTTTAATGAGAGTTGAGGATGAGAATTGTAAATTTTGATTTTACTTTTTTTTAATTAATTTTTTTTCTTTTGTTACTCAGTATACGATTTTGTTGTTTTTTCTGTTTTAGTTTGTCTTGGTACAAGTTAAAATCAGTGGTAGTGTTGCTACCTTTTTGTTCTTGTACCATTTGAGCCATTATAATTTGAATACTTTTTTATTTATTTTAGTTGTAAGGATTATTCTTGTTATCATTATTTCTGGCTCAATAAACAGTTTATTATTATTATTAAGTTTGGTACACTTATAGACATCTCTTTCAGCGGGAGGGAATTCTTGCACTATTCTAAACCTAATCTGGCGAATATTATCATAGATTATGTACTGGATAGCAGCATTCCTTGTTTTACTTTTCAATTGCCAATTATCTATAAAAATACAGATGCTACTACTAATGTACGTCCTTCTGGACACACTTTCCTCGAAAATTGGATCAACTCTTAAGTTGGTCAGGTCTTCGCATCAATTTCTGTTTACTGTTCCTTGGAAGAGTAATAATCCTTGACTTATCCCGCAGATAAATTATCAATAAATTAAGTCAGAATTTGATTTTTAGATTCTTTGATTTAGTCCATTATCTCAAACAATATATTCTGAAACATGGAAAACCATAAATAATCTATAGCCATTTGACACATCATTTATTTCTTAACACCTACAAATAAACCCAGAATGATTTATTGAATATAATTGAATAATTTTTAGTTTGAATTAGATAATCAATATTTTATATTCTACCGGTAACAAATATTTATAAAATGACAGCGATTATTAATTATTATAAACGCTTAAAATAGTTCTAATGAAAATTTTGTTTTCAATATTTTTCGCTTTACCCAGTTTAGAGTAAATTGTAAGAAACATTTTTTTGTACATTTTAACTTGAGCTTGCTTCAATTTCTATTATGTGTACGTTTTTATTTACTGTTTTAAAAAATAACTTTACTCTTTACTCTTTGTTACTGTTTATTGTTTTCAATTCTATTATTTCCCATTATTTATTATACTATAATTTAATTTTTTTAATAAAATTTTTTAATAATTTTTTATAGTAGCATTTAGCAAAAATCATTTTTAAATTAACATCGATCGAAAAATTCTTACAAATTAACACTCAATTCATTCAGCTTTTATTAATTCTTTTAATTCCTTTTTAATTCTCTTAACAAGGTGACAGTTTTTTTTTACAAACTTTTTTTATCAAGAATAAATTCGATGGTTAATTTAAAAACGGTTGTTTATTTTTTTGTTGATATTTTAAGTTTTTCTATAAACTAACAGAATGTTATTGCCCAGCATCAAAGATCACCTTAGACACCTGGCATGTTGTTTCCTGCCTGTTATGGTCAATTGTCGCGTTGGCCACTAGCATGATCGTATTGGCACTCCTAGCGCACAAATAACGGTATGCAAATCAATATGAACACAGAGTTATTATTATTTTTCATCATTTATTTTATTTTTTTACATCCACACTACAACACATACAGACAAAACTCCATCCGGTGTCTGTGTGCGTGAATAAGACTTGAAGAAGTTTGAGGATGTATGAGAAACACAAAACACAATCAAATAATTTTATGATTACGCAAAGAAACAACTTTCCAGAGTACTTTTTTCAGTCAATTCTTTCTATTTTCAATTTTAATATCTCTAAATTTTCTTACTAATAAAACAATTTTTATTTAAACAAATTAATTAAATCTTATTAAAATGAGGCATGATAAATTTACTCACTACCCACACTGAAATATACTCGTTTGCTTGCGTTTAACATTTTTGCTCTGTATGCAAAGAACTTCATTTTTTTACTAATTGTAAGCCTGTCGCACCACCTGCTTGCTTAATGTTATTTATTAAAAAAAAATTTCGATCGATTTGCTTCTGCTTAAACTAAAAAAAAATAAAATAAATTAATCTCTTTCTTATTAAATTATTATTATTAATTAAAGTGGTCGTTGCAAGTTCTTTTCGTACAGATCTTTAACTTATACGAAGTTAGCTCCCAATTAAATACGATTTTCATGTATAGTATTTTGATTATAATAAGAGAAGCTTTCAGCCGATTTTGACAAACAATGTCTCATTCGAAAGCTTAATGTTTGCCCAATATGAAATGGTTAATTCAAAATCCGTTTCGAATTTCGCTAAAACGCCAAAATATTGCAAAAGTATACGAAAATATGACAAAAATAACCTTTTTTAGGTGGTCATATGTGGTTTTATATCTTGTTGTTGGAAGAGCACGTTTAAAAAAAAAGTTTTAGTAAACTTTATTGTTAACAATGTTGCTCTTTTACACTTTTACTCTTCGATGCATAAATATAGAGAAAAATACGAAATAATGTAAATTAGACGAAATCATGGTTTTACATATTGTTGTTGGTAGAGGACGGGATTCGGAACGTTTTAGAAAAAAAGTTTTTGTATAAAAGTTGTAGTAAACTTTATTCTTAACAATATTGCTCTTTTATAGTTTTGCTCGTTGATGCATAAATATCGAGAAAAGTTCAAAAAGGTGAAAATTAGACGAAATCGTGGTTTTACATCTTGTTGTTGGTAGCGCACGGGATTCGGAACGTTTTAGAAAAAAAGTTTTTGTATAAAAGTTATAGTAAACTTGATTCTTAACAATATTGCTCTTTTACATTTTTACTCTCAGATACATAAATATAGAGAAAAATTCGAAATGGTGAAAATTAGACGAAATCGTGGTTTTAAATCTTATTGTTGGTAGCGCACGGGATTCGGAACGCTTTAGAAAAAAAGTTTTAGTATAAAAGTTGTAGTAAACGTTATTCTTAACAATATTACTCTTTTACACTTTTGCTCGTTGATGCATAAATATCGAGAAAAGATCAAAAAGGTGAAAATTAGACGAAATCGTGGTTTTACATCTTGTTGTTGGTAGCGCAAGGAGTTGGGAACGTTTTATAAAAAAAGTTTTTGTATAAAAGTTATAGTAAACTTGATTGTTAACAATATTGCTCTTTTACACTTTTGCTCTCAGATGAATAAATATTGAGAAAAATTCGAAATGGTAAAATTAGACGAAATCGTGGTTTTACATCTTAGTGTTGATAGAGCACGGGATTCGAACGTTTTAGAAAAAAAGTTTTTGTATAAAAGCTATAGTAAACTTTATTCTTAACAATATTGCTCTTTTACACTTTTGCTCTTAGATGAATAAATATTGAGAAAAATTGGAAATGGTAAAATTAGACGAAATCGTGGTTTTACATCTTGTTGTTGGTAGCGCACGGGGTTGGGAACGTTTTAGAAAAAAAGTTTTTGTATAAAAGTTATAGTAAACTTTATTCTTAACAATATTACTCTTTTACACTTTTGCTCGTTGATGCATAAATATCGAGAAAAGTTCAAAAAGGTGAAAATTAGACGAAATCGTGGTTTTACATATTGTTGTTGGTAGCGCACGGGGTTGGGAACGTTTTATAAAAAAAGTTTTTGTATCAAAGTTACAGTAAACTTGATTCTTAACAATATTGCTCTTTTACAGTTTTGCTCCTTGATGCATAAATATCGAGATAAGTTCAAAAAGGTGAAAATTAGACGAAATCGTGGTTTTACATCTTGTTGTTGGTAGAGCACGGGGTTGGGAATGTTTTATAAAAAAGTTCTAGTATAAAAGTTATAGTAAACTTGATTCTTAACAATAATGCTCTTTTACACTTTTGCTCTCAGATGCATAAATATAGAGAAAAATTCGAAATGGTAAAATTAGACGAAATCGTGGTTTTGCATATTGTTGTTGGTAGCGCACGGGGTTGGGAACGTTTTATAAACAAAGTTCTAGTATAAAAGTTATAGTAAACTTGATTCTTAACAATATTGCTCTTTTACACTTTTGCTCTCAGATGCATAAATATAGAGAAAAATTCGAAATAGTAAAATTAGACGAAATCGTGGTTTTGCATATTGTTGTTGGTAGCGCACGGGGTTGGGAACGTTTTATAAAAAAAGTTCTAGTATAAAAGTTATAGTAAACTTTATTCTTAACAATATTGCTCTTTTACACTTTTGCTCTTGGATGTATAAATATCGAGAAAAGTTCAAAAAGGTGAAAATTAGACGAAATCATGGTTTTACATCTTGTTGTTGGTAGCGCACGGGGTTGGGAACGTTTTATAAAAAAAGTTCTAGTATAAAAGTTGTAGCAAATTTTATTCTTAACAATATTGCTGTTTTACCCTTTTATGCTCAGATGCATAAATATCGAGATAAATTCAAAACGGTCAAAAATAGATGAAATCGTCGTTTTACATCTGGTTGTTGGTAGAGCACAGGATTTAGAACGTTTTAGAAAAAAAGTGTTAGTACATCTTTGATAAAAGAAACTATGTTAAATCAAATGATGAATAGATCTTGCTAATCGAGTACAGCATTTACGAATTACGACCACTTAAAAAAAGTAATTTTTGTGTTATTTTCGTGTTTTTTCCCAATATTTTGGCGTTTTAGCAGAATTCGAAAGAGATTTCGAACCGGTCCACTCTCCTATTGTCCAATGATTAAGCTTTCAAATAAAATATTTTTCATCAAAATCGGTTGAGAGTTTCTCTTGTTATAATCAAAATAATTAGGGGCTAACTTTACATAGGTAGATCTTTATTATTTTAATTCATATTAGTAGCGAATCTTGCCGAATCTTTTTTTGAGAGTTTTTTAGAGAAACGAATGAAAGAGCATGGATTTGAAAAAAATTTACTTATTCGATTATTATTTTTATTTAATTACGTTTATACTCGATTGGACACGACGCCCTTTCTCTCTACACTTCAGCTTTAAATGTTTCTCATCTACCTAAATGTTTAATGTAGTCTTTATGCTATTTGGATTTTAAATTTTAGAAGATTTCTACCAACACGATCCGCAGTTTTATGAAACAACCACAGAGGAAATCGATCCGATAACAGGAGCAAGGTTTGTTCTTTTCTTTTTTTAATTTATAACCACTTTTATATTTTTACTTTTATGTTTCGTACAAATTTTATTTTATTCTTATAGGACCACAATTCGGACTGTAACACATTCTTACACAATATCCCCGGAAACCAGGACTATGCAAAACGTTCTGAATCATTTTATGGCACAAGAAAGAAATTTTCAATAGGCTCTACGGATACACAAACGGTTATTGTATATAAAATAAAATTCAAGCCACGTTAATTATAGTTGTAAGGATTTAAAACGAGATGAAATTTTATGGTAACCTATCTAACTGTCCCAGTAAATCACGTATTAATTTATTTTATATACTATTTCCAAAAAAAAAAGTAATTAATAATAAAGCTATTTAAAAATCGTAAAATTTGACCAATAGAATTTGTTGAAACGTAACTCAAGAAAAGAGTTTATAGTAAACAATTAATTAAAAAGAAAGTGTTTATTAACGTCTTTCATTCCGATTATTTCGTACATTCTTCATACAGATTTTTTTTGTAGTGCCTTATTTGTATCTTTATACGCTTTATTTTTTTTTTTTTTGTTTTTAATTATTATATTAAGGTGCGAGCTTTATCTTAATCTAATTTTCATTGTACGCTAAACTATGCTAAATAATCAAGTTGAAAATGGTACTTGTTATTACCTTCCCCTCCATTGCAGTTAACGGGTTTGTGAGATTTTAATAAAAAAAAGTTGTAGGAATTAATTATTATATTATATATATATTTGAAAGAAAAGAGAGTATAGATTTAATATATTACTATGGAAAAAAATTAATATATGCATAAACAATATTAAAATACCCCTTAAATTTAAAAAGAAATGGTTATTACGACCACTTTTTATCGCTTGATATTATCGGATTACCTTATTATTATTTTTTTTGATGTTCTTTTTGATGATTATACCGTACGGATAGGACTAGAACCGCGGCTGCTTCTTACCGTTATTATTACTATAATTAAATTGATAGAGGTTATTTTAAAATGAAACAGTGAGAAAAATAAATGTGTGTAAAATCTTGATATATATATTTTTTTCTTTTCATCATACTCCTAGTCTTAATGTCACACTGCTGAACATAGACCTCTTTCATTTTTATCCAGTTCTCTCTGTATCTAATTTATTATTATTATTTTGAGTCAATCCAACGTGCCCTTCTCTTATCCATTCTTGATCATCACACTTTATCCGTCTTCAATCTCTCAAATGGGCTACACTTCTTGCCCAATTCCATTTGAGTTCTGCAATTCACGTAATCACTTCAGTAACTTCTGTTAGATCATCGTCAATTACTAGATGGACACAAATTAATTAATGCCACGAAATTATTGGAGGAATGCTTCCATAAAGGTACAATATCGAACACGTGGAGCTAAAGTGGTACTGTTATACGAAAGAGGAGACAAAAGAAAGCTAGAAAATTACTGACCCATTCTCTGTATGTATAAACTATTGACAGAAATAATAAAAAAAACTGGGAGAATACCAAGCAAAGGAGCAGCAGATAACTTATGAACAATGAAGCTCCTAATAAAGAAATCAAACGAATATAATAGTGATGGAACGGATAATGATTTTGTGAAAAGCCGGATACTGGATATTTGGCATCCCCTTCGGCCGGATATCCGGTTATCCGGCATATCTATCCGGTAAATATCCAATAAAGTATGTTAACTTATTTGGATCCAAGATACAAAATGAACTTTTTTGATGCTAATTAATAATTGGCGATATTTCCACAAGGATCCTTCAAGAAATGAATTTGATAACAAATTTTGCAAGTTATCGACGAAAATTACAACATCGAAAATTTTATCAAAACTTTAAATATTGTTTTCTCAAAAACTAAAAGTTATTTTTTTTTTCATACTGATATTCCAAGAACTGGATTTTATATGAATTTTTAAAACTTAATCGGCGAAAATTGAAAAATTAGAAAAAATTGTCGATCATTTCAAAAATTTATTTCTCAAGAACTAAAAATGATTTTTCAAAACGGTTTTTTGCATTAAAAAGAGGATACTTTAAGTAATAATTGGTGACATTTCCACATGGATCCTTCAAGAAATTAATTTTATAGCGAATTTTGCAAGTTATCGACGAAAATTACAACATCGAAAATTTTATCAAAACTTTAAATATTGCTTTCTCAACAACTAAAAGTTATTTTTCAAAACGGGTTGGTTCGTTGGAAAGAGGACACTTTTATTAACACTTTGGGAAATTTTCATACCCATATTCCAAGAACTGGATTTTATACGAATTTTTAAAACTTAATCGGCGAAAATTGCAAAATTCGAGAAAATTGTCGATTATTTCAAAATTTTATTTCTCAAGAACTAAAAGTGATTTTTCAAAACGGCTTTTTGCATTAAAAAGAGGATACTTTAATTAATAATTGGTGATATTTCCACAAGGATCCTTCAAGAAATTAATTTTATAGCGAATTTTGAAAATTATCGATGAAAATTGCAACATCGAAAATTTTATCAAAACTTCAAATATTGTTTTCTCAAAAACTAAAAGTTATTTTTCAAAACGGGTTGGTTCATTGGAAAGAGGACACTTTTATTAACACTTTGGGAAATTTTCATACTCATATACCAAGAAATGGATTTTATACGAATTTTTAAAGCTTAATCGGCGAAAATTGAAAAATGAGGATACTTTAAATTAATAATATATCGTATATGCATAATATATCGTATTGGGATTGTTGCATTGAGATTGCTAATGACAAACCTGATATAAATAAAGTTGTACTAAATGAAAAATGTCCTATTGGGGTTGAACTTGATTGATAACAATCTAGTGCAGAATCACTGCAGATAATTGCAGTGTCCAACACCTAGAAGAGATACTAATTCCTGTGAATGATGGAGTACTAAGTAATAGGTTTTTAATATCCGGCCAAAGCCGGATATTTGGTAACTATTCGGTATCCGGCCGGATTTTAAAAAATGGCCGGATAGCCCGGATACCGGTTAGTTGCCGGATATCCGTTCCACCACTAGAATATAAGATACCTTTGATACCATCTGCAACATATCAACTTCATGACAAAACAAAACCGATACGTTTGAAGAGGAGAATCTGCCAACGGGACAGCCTATCTCCTATGTTTAAAGGATTGGACTGTACTAATAAAGCACTGGACATAAATGGCCGAATAAATGCAACAAACACAAAAGACCTGCAAGAAATCATGGCAGAATTAATTGGGATTTAAGATAAATTTATATAAAACGAAAGTTATGTTCAATGTAGACCACAGAATATCAAAAGTAACTGACCTGATCAGGTATGCTGCAAAGCATAAATGGACGCAAAAATTTGCTGGACACGTGAAACGAATGGAAATGGACAGATAGAGTATATTCCGTTGATTATAAAATTGATTGCTGATATTAATTGAATCCAACGAGCAAATAATCGCCGTTAATGGAAAATGACCTTGAAAAGGCTTATATTTAGCGATGGAATTGAATGCTAACTAAGAAGAAGAAGTTACTCGGTCGCGAAACGAAACACAGTTTGAAGTTTTTTAGAACTTGTTGCGGTTTCAGCACAAGTCATAACTAATAATACGTATTGGTCAAACGTTTTGTGTTTTAGACAGATTGACATGTTACTTTTGAAGGTATTCTTCAGTTTGCCATATTCTGTCCATTTAAGAATTATTCTTAACTCTCGAAATCTTTATTTGGTGCCACTAAGAATTAGGTTCGTCATGTATTTTGTTTTGGTTGTGTCGACACAGTAGCACCAATTCTGTGAAGATCATGCGGCTGTTTATCTATTTCGCATCACCTTGTCGTACTCTTCTCATCACTTCAATAGAAGTAGCCTTCATGCAGTTTCATTGGAATGGTCGCATTTCTGTATATGTTGTGTATTAGCTTAGTATATCTATAGTCATGCTTGAAGTACGTCCAAATTACTGTATCGAATACTTTATGGAAATCCACAAAATCGTTCGCTCCAAATTCTCTGCGAAATTTCACTTTTTCTATCGATTGATAGACATCGAGTTTATTTTCAAGTCTAGTCGATAATATTCTTGTGAGGAGTCTATAGACTTATTGATCTATAATTTTCTAATTCATGAGGGTCTTCTTTCTTATAGATTGGTATGACCTCGACTCTTTGCCATTTATTTGGCACTGTACTGTTAGAAAGGTTGCCAATTACGTCAGCGAGTACATTATCTTCGCCTTGGGTTCTGTTGTTTCTAGTTTTCATTAGGGCTAAACTTATTTCATCTATTATGATATCTGGCAGTTCATCCTCGTTGCTTGAGGACTGCCATAACAATCTTTGTGAGGCAGCCGCTAGCAATGAGATTACGATCTGCTGGACAAAGGGTCATTCGGGAAATAAGCTTCATGACATGGTGGACAAACTGGCAAGGAAAGCTGCAGGCGAACCTCCGGGATCGCCGGAACCATTCATTGCCCCAAGAATAAGGTCTTTAATAGAGGCTAATAGATTATGAAGCTGTCCAGGAAGAACCTACGTTTGGTCATAAGGCTAATCACTAGACACTGACACCTACAGAAGCACTTACTGAACATGGGAGTAAGTGACACCGACATCTGCAGAGGATGCAGTGAGAAGGAGAAATCAGCGGAACACATTTTATGCGACTGCGTGGCCCTCCAAACATTAAGGTTATCCATTTTTGAAGATATCCAGATTAGCATGAGTGGAATCAGGGCAGCACAACCAGGACAAATTCTAGCTTTTGCCTCCAAGGTAATATGGCTGGAAGGACCCTAATGCTGACCAAATGAGGGAGCTAAGTACAAAGGATCTGCTGAGGTCAAAGTGCTGCGGGCGGTTCAGCCTGCCTTCCCGCGAATCCAGAATCCAGATATCTGGCAGTGTTTCCGATCTTTGGTTAATAATGTCGTTTTTTCAGGTAAGTAGTTCTGGGTCCTTTTTTCCTATGATGGTTTCTTTGTTCTGGCTTGTGAACAGCAGTTTGTAGATATCTTCAACTACACTAACGATTTCACCTCTTTTTGTTTATTTAACTGCCAATTCTTGCTTTTGACGTTGATACTGTTCTAATTTTCTCCGTAGAACTTTTATACGTTTATTGTTTTCAGTAGTCTGCTCTATTTGTTCTTTATTGTATTTTTGAATGTCAGTGTGCTCTCCACTTCTCATCTCTCTTGTTTTCTGTAGTACCAAAACCTTACAAAAAGCAAAAGCTTAACTTTTGAGTATGCACGAATCATATGCAACAACTTCATCATCTACTTCTAGACCACTTTTAAGACAACTTGACTCCTGATAAACCTGACAAAGGCGAAGATCTTGATCGTTCAGAAAAAGGAATGGATATAAACATGCTCTTCTCATAACAGACGCGGCTGAGGGAAAAATTTGGCGGTTGCAAGATCTTTCTTAAACATTTTTACTAGAAATTTTGCATATATGCTCAAAACATGTTTCGGGAGCTTTTTTCCATCATCAGCCGAATCTACAGCCTGATTCAGAGTAAGCGCCTTATTTTTTTTTTAGCCACACTATGGGTACTACTTTCAAAATATTTGGCAGTAATATGTTTTAGGACACTCTCTACACGATGGTGATAACATATTTTCAATTGGACGAATTATTTCAAAATGGCGACTGTCAACTTTTTTTTTTAATGAAATGCCAAAATTTTTTTTTTATTATTGAGATCTTAAAAGCATTCTTTTTACGACAGTATTTTGTTTTTCTTAAAAATTCATTTCTTTCCCCATCCAAAAGGAACCTAATATTTTAATCTATACTCTGTTTTTAAACCAGGAGGAGTATTTTAAATTTGTCACCAGATTGACCTTGCACGTGATTGGTTGAATGCGAGGAAGGTTCACACACAGGCAATTTTGAATTTTGATTTTGAATTTGAAGGTTAGGTTATTGATAATTCGACAGTTTCGTGTCATTGTTGTAAATTTTGTTTAAACCCTTTTGCGTCTTCAATTTAATTGAGTGAAATCTGTTCTTTTTAGAACAAGGTATGGATCGTGACCCTAATAAAAGTAGAATTGCTTTTAATACCTA